GAGGATTCTCCTCTCTAGATCTCTGGGGGCTACTGTACCTCTAAAGTTAGACAGACCAACAAATCCTCTTTTATTGTCACAGCCAATGTGGGTTATTTGTTGTGTGTTTGCTTATTCCATCATAAATGGTCTGATACATAGGATTACATTCACCTTCCAAAATTAGTATCATTTTCTTAAAGAGGGTCGTATTTTCTTTCACCTTATAGCTTTTAGATAAAACTTGACTGATTTCATAGCAAAGCCTGAAATTTCATTAATTAAAGATTTGTTGATTAAGTGAATCATCGGAAGAAATGAATGAGTAAGTGAATAAACTATTGAATATTAAATCATTTCTCCTTTCAAATTTTCTCTTTCTCTCTCAGGCCAAGTTGCACATGGTGATGTTAAAGAAAAATGAACAAAACACTGATTATTATCCAGTTCTTTTAATTTATTTAGTCTTTCTTATCCAGTTGAAAATATTCCTGCTATCTGTATTCTATAGAAAATCCTATTAACCTATCCCCTCCCCTGCTAGACATTACATGAAAATCATACATAACTGAAGTTAGGCGACTAGCACTTAGAAAGCCAGAAATAAAGAAGAGTCACTTGTCCTTGTGTATACTGACCTCCCTCTTACATTCCTATCCATTAATAAGTAATGTTCACCAAAGAGTGAGAGTCCAGAACCTGGTGGCTTGCTTTCTCATTTTCTCTCTTTCCTTCTCTCTGTCTCTCTCTGGTGAGTGCACATGTCCTATAGCAAATTTAATAATGAGAATATTAAATACAGAAATAAAATAAACCTTAAAAAGAAAAAATTAGAATAGTACAATGAGAGTTTTATTTTCTTATAGTGGTCAAAAGTGAAACGGACCACATTCAACTGCCAAACTGTAGTTGTGAGGGACGTTAATGCCATGACTTACAGTCCTTGTTCTCCAAGGAAGCTGAAGTAAGTGTAGAGGTGACACATAGCCTAGGGCAAAGGGTGTGGTGGGGAGAAGAGGAATATTTTAAAGATATTAGTCATACAGACATACTGAAGATCCCTCATTTCATGACTGGTAACTACTCCTCTGGGAGAGAATTAAGTGTCATATTTAAAGTGGGAAATGACTAGAGCTGGAGAGAAAAGGGTTATTTATTTCCAGGCCCTGCCAACTTCTATATTGCTCTCTTGCTGTGTCACAGTCACAGACCTGAACAATGGCGGAAACAATAATTTCTAATCTTCCTGTTCAAGAAGTAATTTTATTGATCTCCACTTTCTCATTTATTTTCTCCATGATTCAGCAGGTCAGAATTTCTCCAGTTCTAGTAGTTTCCATTTCAGCAAAATGTCCATGGAGTTAAAATGTCTTCAAGTCAATAGGAGAAGGAATTCGTTTCAGCACCAAGGAGAGTGCCCTGCCATGGCTTTTTTGTATTTGAAAAGGCATCTTATTCAGGAGGCTAGAAAGAAAACTTTGAGACATGTCTTAATAGAAACTTACTCAGAACTTATTTCATTAACAAGAAAAAGCCTAATGATTTCTATAAAATGTAAAACTTAGCAGTTTTACATTTTTATACATGTTAATGATACATGTTAATGATCTCAAGAGTTCCATTCTTTCAGCTTTCAAATACATTAAAACTAGTATTTACCTGTTTTTCGTATATCAAAACCACAGTTCCTGCCTAGATTTGGAATTTGACATTGTTCAATGAAGTCACAGAAGTGTTACATGGCCAGTAATTAAATGTTCCATAAAAACAAATTCTAAAATCTTCCTCTCTGCTGTGTCCTCAGAGCTGTGCACATGGTAAATGCTCAATAAATATTGAGTCAAGTGAGAAAGAATGAATTGATGACTGACATTCACTAAGTGAAAAGAAATTAATGAATGAATGAAATGAATGCCTTGTTTGTAATGAAAGTCACTCTTAGCAACTGATCTCAAAAATCCTCACACATCACATTGATCAGTCTGAAACTTCAACACATATTTCCTTGGACTAATTAATGGAGTATCTCTAGACCTTAGAAAGGTGTGTCCAGACCTTTCATCTCCATTAAAATTTCAATGTGAAGAGATCTCCTTAGAGCTGCAAAGGTCACTATGGTTTTAACAGGAGAATCCTATGCTTCCAGGGCAGCATGGCATACACCTGTGGCCTCCAATGCCCAAACCGACCCACCACCCGAGTTCTGCCATGTTACCAGATGGATTGGGCACAGGTACAGGAGGCTAACCTCTCATCCTTACCACCAGGTCCCCAGCTGGGTTATAATTACCATCCCTATCCCTGAAATCAGGCCACACCTTCCTCCATGCCAAGGGGTAGAAGACACCAGGCTTCTCTCTCCTGAGAGACACTCAGGAGGTTAGAGACACCTGAGCCCAGATGCGCTAGAAGATAAAGAGTTAGTCTGCTCTGAGCTGCCACCATTTTCAGATTCGAGGTAGCCCCAGGAGACCAGAACCCACCAAGGACAGAGCCAAAGGTGAAGGAGAAAACATGAAAAAAAAAAAAAAAAAAAGTCAAAACTGAGTGTTTAAACAGATTTGTCCAACAGCATAATTGTGAGGACTTCTCAGACCTCTGAGTCAGACCCCTGAGTCCCTCTCCCCTTCTGTGTCTATTCGTGTGATGAAACGTGTGTGAATAAAGTCAAGCCTCCTGGCTCCTGTAGGCACAGCCCAGTTCTTAGCTCCTAGGAGGCTTCTGGGCTAAGGCTCCACTCTACTTGGACTGTACTATCCTGAGTGTTTAAACAGATTTGTCCAACAGCATAATTGTGAGGACTTCTCAGACCTCTGAGTCAGACCCCTGAGTCCCTCTCCCCTTCTGTGTCTATTCGTGTGATGAAACGTGTGTGAATAAAGTCAAGCCTCCTGGCTCCTGTAGGCACAGCCCAGTTCTTAGCTCCTAGGAGGCTTCTGGGCTAAGGCTCCACTCTACTTGGACTGTACTATCAGGGCCCCCAAAATGGGGGGAGCCTCCAGGCAAGGACTGATTTCCATTTCAAACTGCATTCTGGTACTTTGTACTCCAGCACCATTGGCCGATCAATATTTAATGCTTGGAGATTCTGACTCTGCGGGAGTCATGTCAGGGGACCTTGGGAGCCAATCTGCTTGAGCTTCTGAGTGATAATTATTCATGGGCTCCTGCCTCTTGCTCTTTCTCTAGCACGGTCCCACTCTGCAGACTCAGTGCCTTATTCAGTCTTCTCTCTCGCTCTCTCCGCTGCTGGAGCCGGACCCTTCCCCTTCGCCACCGCTCAGCATCTGCACGTCTCTACAATGGCTAAAACAGCAATGGGTAAGGCTCCGCGCCTCGTTCTCCCTCGGCTCGACCTGGACCCCACTTCTCCACCTTCTCTCTCTCTTAGACCTTTGAAGGCAGACGGAGATCATTTATAAAGAAAAAGACGTTAATGGCCATATAGAAGCCAGGAAGGACGGAAGCAGCTCTAAGGGAGGTGGGAGGGCAAAAAAAAAAAAAAAAAAAGGTCTTTGGAAATCTAAAGAAAAAAAAAATTTTTTTTTTTGAGATAGAAGCAGGTAAGTTGCCCTCCCATGGTAGGAAATTATCCTGTTTCCATATTTGAAACCAGGGCTCCGTCGTGAGACTAAGGAACTACCTTGAGTGTTTCAAATGAGGTTAAGGGACATTTTGAAAAGTGTTTTGTAACATCCTTTATTTCTTCCCTAGTTCAGAAAATGGGATAGGCGAAAGGGGAGGTTGGGATAAAAGAAAAAGAAAAATGCAAAGTCAAAGCGGTCCCACCTAAGCTGTTGGAGAGATGGGTGGAGACGAGGGGAGGGGGGGACGGGACACATTTTACGGTATTGTCTGGTCGGAGAACGCGCTAGTCCTGGGGCGCGGCGCTGGGAGGTAAGGCGGCCGGGGAGGGGTGGGGAGCCCTCCGCTCCTTTGTTTTAGGCCGAGGGAGGGGAGAGAGGAAGTCAAGAGGGAGTGGAGGGCGCGAGTGGGCAGCCGCAGGGGCGGGGGAGCGCGCTCTGGGGACGTTGGAGGGACACAGCTGGAAGGCGCTGGGGTGGGGTTTCTTTGTGTGCCGACCGGCGGTCCCGCGGGGGGCACCTCCACGCCCCGCGCCCCGCGCCCCTGACTTCCCAACCGAGTCTTCCCTGAGAGACCTGACCACTGACCCCGCCCTCCCCACCCTGGCCTCATTGTTCTCGTTATTATTTTCTTTTCAAAATTGTTTTTGGGGGGCGGGGTAGGAGGGCGCGGAGGTTAACACTTTTCTGTTTAGAGCACAATACGTGGGGTGTTTGGCCACAGACGCAGTAAAGGCGTTTTGGAACTCCTTTGACGGCTTTAGGGGAAAGCTGCCGGAGCCCAGACAGGTGTATAGTGCTAAGATCAAGATGAGTGAACGTACTCCGAAGCAAAAGAGGTCAAGGTCTTACACTGAGCCACAGTGAAATTTACATTTTGTGGGTCAGACAGAGCTAAATATCAGTAATTTCATGGGTTTAACCTCCGTCAGAGACAGAGATAGTGGAGACACAGAGAGACAGAACAAGATTCCAGATCCAGGGCCTTGCATCTCCGATCGCTCTAGCGTCTCAGGGGCCTAGGGTTTCAGCGCTCGGCGGCCCTGGGGTGGGCAGGTGGGGTGGGGCCTGACGGCAGTGGCGCCCCGAAGCACCCCTTCCCCGGGATCCGGTTGCGGGAAGAAAGGGAAAAGCTACCCAGAGGGCTCACTGCGGACGGCTCCGCCCTGCCCCACCCTGGCCGAGGAGCAGGAAAATCCTTAGGCTGGGAGACTGGCGGGGAAGTGGGGTATGGGAGGGGCCGCTGAGCAGTCTGTAGTCCTGGAACCGCTTTTTCCAGCCCTGCAGTTCGCAGTCACCCAGCGAAGCTCTTAGCCCAGGCGCCGAACCCCTCCCAGCCAAATGGGTGGCTCTGCAGAAAAATTGGCTCGAGCCCCGCCCGGCCACACAAAGGCGCGGCCGCACCCCGCCCGACCGCGAGACCGCAGAGGTGACCCCTTCCCCCGCTGCGGGGACGACTGTCTCTGCTCACGTACCCGCAGCCCGCAAAGCTCAGGGCCATTTTCCTGCAGCCCAAGGCCACGGCCCACAGTCTCTTCTCCATCACTTCCCAGGATAGAGACCCCGAGGTGGATCTCCCTACAAGGGACCCTCTCTCCTTCTGCTGGGCGCGGCTCGGCCCCACCCCTCCCAGCTAGGGCTCCGGCTGTCATCGGCTGGCCGGGTGGGGGCGCACGTGGCGATCTGGCGCGTGGAGCTTGGCCAGCCCTGCAGAGCCGGATGCCGCGCCCTGCGCTCCCCTCCCCGGAGTTGGGCATTCGCCCCCGCGGGTGCAGCCGGGGAGACAGGTTTCTGCGCAGTGTCCCGAGCTACCCCCGCTTCCCACAATTCGCAGTTCGCCTGCACGACCAGAAACCTTCTTAAGAATGGGGGTTGGGGACTATCTTGCTCCACGCTCTGCCTCCCTACGGAGAGGTTTCTGCTGCAAGGAGGCTGCAAACTCATTATCATCATTAGTGGTAGTATTTCCAATCACCGTTATTGTGGATCAGGACTCAGTGGCCCTATTTGTTCTCATTTGTTCAAAAGGGACGTGCATGGCTTTGGGTGAAGGATGAACCCTAGGTATACTCACTTTTCTTTCTGCTAATCTCCCTCACCCCATTCCTCCTCCTCCCCCCAAAAGGAAATATTTTCTCTCGGGTTGTTTGAGTTAAAAAGCGAATATATTTTCGCTTCCTGTCGGGATTATGCATGTTCATGTGGCTGGAATATATTGCAGGTGCTTGCTAGGGGCAGGGTTTGTGTGCCAATGATTGCTGGAAAATTCTCTGCAGAGAATTGTTTGTAGCTGCAATGGGTGAAAATATACATATATAATTGAGAGGTCATGATCGTCAACATAAGGCTGCATCTGTAAATATCTACATGTAAGTTATGTTCACATTTTTAACCATTTTAACCCCCCCTCCAAACTGTTTTACCAACTGCTGGTTCTTGGTCCGGTCTCAACCCTCAAAGAAACACGGACGGTGAAATGGTAGACGCCATTCCAATAAAAATCCCACCCGAAATATGACAGATGCAGGGGTCCTGTCTGCCATAAATAAGCTGCATTTCCAAATCATGGAAAGAAGCACTACCTCTGCAACATGAAAGTAATAGATTTTGAAGTCATTCCAATTGCAAAGCAGAATCAATTAGTCACCAGGGCGGGTGCTTTTTTTCCTGATTCATTACACAATTATCGTATTCAGCCTGATGGTACTAGTGTATATAATATTGCTCATTATCCTCTCCAGTGAAGTGGACACCTTCTAAACAAATATATAAACAACTACAATAGGTGATGATTTGATCAGGATTTCAAGGATAAAACAAATATCAGTAGTTGATTAGTACATTTCTTATATTTAGTTCATACCAAGCGACTTAGCTGCAACAGACGCTCTGTGGCCCAGTGAAGTTTGCTGCAGGTTAGATAGGACACATTAATAGACCCGGTGGCATTTGTCTTTTCATGTCAAAATCCTCCAGAAGAAAGTATATTTTTATTAAGACAGGATAATTTATGAGATTAAAATCTAGAACTTTGTTCAGTCAAAATTCACAATGGTTTTGTAATGTGACTTACCGATTTGTAGTAAATTGTTGTCTAAAGGGGAGAATAATATTTTTATTGTTAGAGTAGTTGCCTCTACTCTTAGTCATTAATATTTTTAGTAAAATTTTATTTTTTGTATTAAAAAGTTTTAATTACTTTTGGTTTTAAATATTTTATGTACTATTTCTGTGGTGCACTAACAGCTTTACTTACCTTTGGATTTTATTTTTATTTTTATTACTAATGGATAGATCATGGAATAAACATTTCATCTCTTGGAATAACATGACTTCCATTAAACCACTCATTCTCAGTGATTAAAAACGCTGCAAGAACCTCCTGTCAGAGTAGCATAAGCTGATTCATATAATAAAATAGTTTCCCCCTTATAACTTAATATCAAAATAGTACCTTAATTCCATGTCTAATAGTAGCTACCAAGTAGAATTTCTAAGTCAAATATGTATGGCTAAAAATGAAATGGAAAATGAATCAATCACATAATGAATTGAAGATTTTGTCATTGATAAATCCAGACCGTCTCTAGGAAAACTCCTGATTTTTCAAGCACCATTGTTTTCCACTGCCCCAGAATGAGCCCAACTATGTGCCTATGTCATCCCACTAGCTCAGTGTTCACACAAGGCCGGGTGAAGCTGGTCTCAGAGTCCGTGGGAGCTCACTGCACAAACCTAGGTTTGGGCGTGGCCATCCCAATCTGCTCATAGCTATCCCTGACTTACACCAATTTCTGGTTTTGGTGATGGAAAAACACGCATTATCCTGTTATCGCAGACATGCAACTATATACAAAAACTGGAAGAACCAAAATCCCGAATTAGTTAGTGACCCAGGTGTTTCCTAAACCTAGGGAGAGAGTCAATCCTACTTCTTTCCTTTGAAAAACCTTGGAGTCTGCATTAATTTTTAAGCCCACTAGAGGGCAATCAAGTTCTCTAAAGAGTAGATGACTTTTTTTTTTTTTTTGAGAGAGAGAGATTTTTTACTATAGGGCATGTGCACTCACTGAGAGACAGAAAGTGAGAAATAATCTCCCAAGAGGGATGGTTATACTGCAGTCTCTTCTCTTCCATTCTCCTCTCAGAATTTTGGGAACACGTGCACACATGCCCAGCATGTTTTGAGCTGCCGGGTCCAGAACTGGAACCATGATCAACTATGTGGGAGTCCAGCGACATAACCATTACGCCATCTGCTGGTCCCGAGTAGGTGATTGATTTAAACCTAGCTCCAAGTATTAGCTGTTTAATAGTTTAAAAAAAAAAAATATCTAGAACATTCATTTGTTGTTAAGTAAATGCCATGATTTTCTCTAGCGGGTGAACCAAGTTTGTGCATCTTTTAAAGGAAACAAAATAGATGAATGGTCAAGCTCTGGATGTAGATAGGCCCTAGTTAATTATTCCCTTATGACTTTACTTTCTGGAATACTTACGTTCCCTTGTTATTACAGTATTGCTTCGTTTATGGTACTTCCCGGATTTTGTCCTAAATACATGGTGAAGAACTTAAGTGTACACAGAAACATTGTTTAGGAACAGAATGCCTTTGTGTTTAAAAAGAGCAATAAACAAAAACATTGTACTTATTTATTTATTTAAAATGTTCCCAATGTTGAGGACACAGCTGAACACCGGAACACCGGCGTCTCAACCTCCAGAGAACCTAGGGAC